CCTGATTTGATGTGACTATTCATCGAACCAAATTTCTTCATTATGAGATCTTGTATATTGTATCTTGAGTGTATTTTCTTCTATCTTCTATACGTGCTTTATGGACATTGCAGATCTTTGGCTCATTGATCCATTATGAGCACATCGGATGCCGTACATTTTACATCCATTATTCATTCTAAAATCCAGTCTAATCGTTCTCTCCAGACCAGCTGCAGGTGCCCACACAGAGTCATTAGTGTTAATCTGAGTTACCTGTAACTCGGGTGCAGGTGTCCCCACATCTGAAGGAGCACATCTGATCCCTCTGAGACTTTTGATCCTCTCACGATTAGTGTCAGGATTACACATGTTTGACTGTGTATCTGTGTGGGGATTCCCTGCCTAATCTACTGTATGGTATTTATCTATTTGTTTCAACTACTGTATATCAATCAATCTTTTTTTTATTCCTGAACATGAACCACCCAAATCCAACCCAACAAAATAAAAAGATAACAATACACGTTTTGAAAATGAGTTGGATGAAACAGACGCTTATAAACTTCCTATCCCCCGCACTCATGCAACACAAACTATATGAATTTTAACAACATTGTCACTAATCAAACAGAAAATAAATAAAAACAGTAGTTTCTTACGGTGAGAATTATATTACAGAATATGTTTTAGACGGCAGTGAGTTTGCAGATGCTCTGAACACTGAGCATTATTAACTGATTGTTTATTGTAACAGTTTGTGTAAGACTGAACCTGAAGGTTATGGGTTCAAGCCCACTACGAGACCTTCTCTACCAACTCCCGCTGATGTCTGCTCAAGGCTCAAAGCTCAAGACTGTGTTGTCACTGACAGAGTAGACAGAGCACTGATCAGTGAAGGATCAGTGAAGGCTGGTGCTCGGTGGCAGCTGATTGCCACCTTCCCGACTCAGAAATGGATCGATAATTCATTTTCACCAGGGCCACATTAGCTCAGTTGGTAGAGCATTGGCCTTCGAGCCATAACGTTGTGGGTTTGAGCCTACCTCAAGACTTTCACCATCGACTCCCACTGACTACTGTCGTTGTGTCCTTGGCAAGACACTTAACCTCTGGGAGCACCAGCCACAGTGGGGCGGCTGCGACTGTAAAGTGCCAAACTGCCGTTGTGTCCTTAGGCAAGACACTTCACCCTCATTGCCCAGAATGAGTCTGGTGTGTGTGTGAATGGTTGGTGGTCGCTGATGGCACATACTGGTTGCCTCGCTTCTGTCAGTGTGCCCCAGGGCAGCTGTGGCTACAGTAGTTGTTTATCACCACCGTGTATGGAGTGAATGAATAATGACAATGTGAAGTGTCTTTGAGTGTCCAAAAAAGCGTTATATAAAACCGATGCATTATTATTGTTATAATTCAGTTCAAGTTAGATAACCTGAGGAGGGCATTATTGTCTGCACACACTCATGTCTTAAAAGTGTATTATTATTATTTATAGATTAAAACATAACTATTACTGTGATGTTAAATGTAAAATGATTCACATTGTCATTAGTGTGACTGGTGACAGTTGTATGTAGTATAAATGTAGTATAAATTAGTTGACACATGATTTGATAGGTAGTCTATCAGGCCTCACTAACATCACTACAACTACACGCTACATTTGTGAAAACAAAGGCTTGTGAAAATAGTTGTGTGCGCTGACTAAGCACAGCAGAGCGTGCATGCAGCTTGCCCGTAAGTGTTTGTTATTGTTTGTGGGCTTAGATACATACATCGATAGTGAGTGTGTGGATATTAAGCCGTGTGAAATGCTTACTAATCTGACTGGAAATTATATAAAGAACTCCAGCTGCTTCTCAGGTTCTATTTCCTCCAAACCACAGGCTCATTAAGTTTAGCACCAATTTGGCTAAGAACACCAACTTCTGGTTCTTACTGGTAAGAAACCATTATATTTTCCAAAACATCTCATATCTTTTAAAGAATAAACTGTGAGAATTTGTCTAATGAGTTATATCAATAAACGTATCTTTTATCAAGAAAAATAGGAAATCACAGCTGACCTATTTTGTATTTATCCAATTGTGATTTTTATCCTGCACGTAACAGAAAAACAACTTTTGTAAAAGTTAAAACTCTATGCCAGGGTTAATATCAGCTTGTATAGTCGTAAGGCCTAGTCAGGTAATGGCAGGGCCACAATTATCAAAGCAATGATCATTTCATGTAAGCATCATGTATCCTCACATGAAACAGAAGTTCACTGTCACAACTCATGGTGTTACTTTTACCTGGGTTTGCGACATGAAGGCATCTGACCAAAGTCAGCAGGAGTTCACCTCATTTAGATTCCCCACACTCAGAGTGAGAAAAGGATTTATTTTTTTAAGCTTTGGTTTGATTGATTGATTGATTATTTATTTGAGCATTTTGCAAACATATTTTTTTCATTATTACAAGATTACACTGTTGTAAAGTAGCTCAAAAGGAGTAGGCTGAAGCAAGAAAGCTTATTAGTGCCTACCCCCTATTCCAAGTGATCACTTTCAGCTGCAGACAATAACCGTGAATACAGGCATCAAACAGTTTACGTACAAACTTCAGCTTGTAAAACCAAAACAGTGAAAATATCCTTTTTGTAGCAGCAACAATACATTTAGATAAAAAGCAGTTTGATTTCAAATAGAGCATACAACAACTGCAAAGTGTTTCTTCATCTGTGTTTCATCCACTTTTGGTGATGTCTGTTTGAATAAACTTTGTGATGAATTAGCCCAATGTTGTTTCATTACTACTGTCGTTGTGTTATGTGAACAATAACACAAGTTGGTACAGAATGTCTCCTGCCAAAATTCAGGCTTTTTGATGAAGCGGGGAGAGCAAGTGAGATGCTTTGTAGTGGACTTGAGTGATGTTAAACATGTAGGCGCAGACGGGAGTTACAGTGGAGGCCAGACAGTCTGTACTGTTTACTGACACAACACATTTTAATGGTTTCTTTCCTTGGGCCAAAAATTGAGAAATTGAGTCACTTCAAAATGGTGACACACTACGGAAGTCCACTGTTTACATTGTTATGGCTTTGACTATTTGATTCTGAAACCAAGAGGCCCAATACACATGGCAGAAGAAATTTGACAAACGTATGTAACGCATATAGGGGGTTGTATATTTTCCATTTCTTATTGGTGTTTTATTTCTCCCGACATGGATGATTGCCTTCCAGACATTTATCTTGTAAAAATCGCGTCGCAGACCATGCCAAATGGTATTGGCTTTGTTCTGTAGATCTGAAGCGCTTGCTTTTTCTTTTGGATGAAGCCCTGTGAGGTCCCAGCATATGGCAAGGGAATCCACCACCAGCACTAATCTAATCTATTAGGCTATCATTAAAACTCGTAATGTAGGGGCTACAGTAATGTCCATGAATACAATGCTTTCTTTAGCTTTTATTATACATACTTTAACTAATTATTGATTTTCTGCATATATGCTTTGTTATTTCTTATTACCACTTGAGTTCACTTCTATAATCTAGCATTCTGTCTCCTATATAACGAAACACATTTTTAAAGACGACACTGCATTCTGCTAACTAATGTTGCAGCTTTTGCATGGTTGGTTTCTCGTCCGCTGTGAGTGTGTGGTGCTGCTGCAGTGGGCGGCTTCTTTACACAATCCTTGGAGGTAATGAGAGGTGGGCCACACTTGGAGGGGCACAGTGACTTGCTGCTCTCTAGTCGTTCTGTTACTTTTTCCTATCTTTTTAAAAAGTATTGTTTTGCTCAGCTCCAATCAAAAACACAGGGATTTGGATACAAATACAAAAACTCAATACTCAAGACCAATTTCAATACCAGGTGATGATTGAAATCCAGACTTTTGATATTTTGACAACGTCTAACATCACAGCAATACAAGTGTTACAAAAGTAGTTTTATTAACAACATAAATAATATCAACAAAATATTGTATAAACAACCATCTTTCTGTATTATACAGTCTGAAACATAGCATGCATACTGCTCATGTCGAGTGCACACACAGTTGTCAAAAACAAGTTACATAAATATTGAATTCAATAAGGAAAGCCCCTGTGTTTTTATAACAAAAAGCGTGTCTACTATAATATATTCTAAGTGTTGCATAATGAATGTCAAAACGACATGATATTAATGATTTTCTACAGCGGAGAGCTCACTGTAACGGTGGCCCAACGCTGTAGCTCTAGAAACTAATAAATAAATAGTTAGTGCATATTCCCATTTACCTCATTGACGAGACAAATGAAAAACAATTTAAGTTAATGATGAACCAAAATCAATTTGGTCCAAGTTAAGAAGTAATCTCATGTCATTATTGGCCAGACAGTCCAGCTATCTGCTTTGTATGCTGATTTTCAATAATCATTTCCATCATGTAAATTATGAAGTGAAGATAATTGCCTTTAGGTTCAGTGGTTTCACATTTAGAGCATGTGCTTGGCTTGAAACATGTCAGTAAAAGTGATTCATTTACAGCCTTTAAGATAAACATATCCAAAGTGACCTGCCTACTTCGCTACACACATAGCATACCTCAGTAACATAGAGCAGGGAAGCCTCATTACCCATCAAACACTCCATATGTGTCTGCTATGGGCCAGAGACACAGGTCCAGGGGATTGTTAGTTTTATCTGGCTCCGCGTAAAGTGTAAGCAGATGCCTGAAAAGCGTCAATGTTCCTTTTTATGATAAACGCAGACAGGTCGCCCAAAGCTGACCCGTGAAGTTTGTTTTAATGGGTAGCAATTGTTTAAAACCACAAGAAATTCTCATTATTTAAGACAAACCAGTACTATTTAGCAATATAAATGAGCTTGCTTATGTGTTTTGTGACCTGAACCAATCACTTAATTTGTTCTTTTTTCTATCAATCCTTCTGTGGAAATTAATCAACACGTGATGACAATAATGACAGGAGAATTAACAGTGGTCTTATTGAATGTTCAGTAGCATGTCCACACTGTTGATCTGTGTCAGTTGGACAGCTTTATGACCCCCAAGTACGTAGCGTCTCTCCCCTGGTCCAGGAGCCATGCGTTGGACACATTGACAAACAGTGCGTCCCCCTGTTCTAGCCGCACCCCTCGGCCTTGTTGGGCACAGTACATGTTGTAGCTGCCGTTGTTCCAATGGACAGCGCTGCCGGTCTTTCCTATCACCACAATGGTGTTCTGTTGGTGCTGGTCGTGGCAAATGTACTGGATGAGCTGAATTTTGCTGAAATCCAAGTTGGAAATATCTCGGTCCTCCTCGGCCAGATTGTAGTAGCGGAAGCAAGTCTTGGCGTAGACGTAGTAGTATCCAGGCTCGTCGATGAAGATCTTCCCCTTTTCGTACTTCACGCAATGAAGATCTCCTTGGTTATTGTCCCATTCGATAGGGACAGGATGAGGCTTACCTTCTGCACACAGACACAACACAACCATTTGTAAAAGTGAAGTTCTCTGATGCCCTGCCAACATGAAGTCAAGTGACATGCCATAGATCTGTCTGAGTTACACATAATTACTATTGTCAGTAACGTTCACAATTATGTATTTAGTGTGTCTGTATGGATGTTTTTCTCCTGTTGGACACCTGAATATCTCCTATGGGGGATCAATAAAGTATTTGTCTATCTAACTAGACAGAATTTTTTTTTTTATCTAAAATGCATTTCATACACATGACTGTTTATGTGTTCAGTATAGAATTCATCATTTTATAGTGACATTCATTTCCTGTGCGGTTCACCGACTTGCATTTTAGTAAGAATCAATAAGAGTAGAAGAGAGGCATTTTTACATTAAGATCATTTTACATTGTTGCATGATCATTTTGTCAGTCAGGTTCCTTAATGGTATTCAAGTAATGTCACACATAGTACTTACTTGGGTATTCATGCCCCGCCTTGATTGGTAGATGAGCTGACGGCACACTGTCTCTTGAAAATTTACGTCTGTTCCGGCTGCATTTCTTTGGCGAGGCTTGTAAGGCACCAATAATGGGGTCTTTCTGCATTTCCTGCAACACAGAACACAACTTCCGTTCACACACAGTATAAAAATGACAGAAGAAAAGTGAACCAGTTGTGTGTTTGGAGACAGGTATCAAATCAAGTTGGACTGTTTTTTGGCAGACACAGAAAATGTGACAGACACAGAATGACAAGAAGCACTGCACGCCACCTCAGGCAAAAAGGAGCAGACAAATAAGGGATGAGCTGTTTCTATGTTAAACAAAGGCGCTGTCAGAATTAAAGTTTGTAGGCCATAACTGTGCAATTGTGATAATAAATCATATTACAAAAGGTCAGATCCACATGCTGTGTTGTCATGTTGTGATTCACTATTATTCTAGTGCTGTCACGATACAACATTTCAAACTCAATATCTATACTAGACAAAATACCTGATACTTGATCCCAATTGTAATACCACAACGATTATTTAGAAATGCTTTTTGAACAACAAACTTTTAACTAAAACCTCTGTGCAGCAATCTAGTCCAAAACTGCCACATTTTCTCACATAATGTTCCTGGTGGACTTTCATTGAAGGCTCTTAACCCTCATGTGTTCCCTCCTTGAAGAAAGAAATGTCATTTTTTATTTAATTTGATTTTCTAAGATGTAGGGGCACTAATAACACAAATAGGTTGTTTGTATGTTTTTTTGAACCCCTTGTTTTTAGGCCTTTGGAAAATGGTTGAGATTCAGTTTGATGGTAAAAGTGCCTAAAACCATGAGATGCCCCAAAGAGCTATTTTTCAGTTCCAAGCTTCATGTAGATATAGTGACTCAAAGGTGATCTACCAAATGTTTGAGGAAACCATTAAAGGCTTAATGATGATAATGAGGATTCAACCAAAATGTAAACTTTGATAAAGCCGATTCATTTATTATATTTATATTGACTTGACGATAGCACGAGAGAAAGTGCACTTTAGTTGGGATGGAATGGTGTTTTGAAATGAGTTTTTGCCTTTTGGCCCAATGCCCACTTTCCACTTGCCATCATCAATACATGCAGTCATAATCAAAGCAATTCAAAATGTCAGGAATAGATTATGCAGACTCTATTACAAATATTTTATTGCATCCTGAAGAAGTTTTGACTTGTTCTTCTGATCTAAATTCTCAGGAATGCTGCCAATCTCTTATGTTACTCCCACGGCAAACTAGCGACAAAAACAGAAACAGACACACACAAGTGAACGTTTGGAAATACCTAAAGAACATAGCAACTTCCACGTGTTGCCTTAAACGCCCCTGCAGCGATGAGCCAAGAATAACTACAAAGGCTTGAAATTGGTATCGAGAGCTCAGAATGATAATTTTCAGTCCTATTTTGTAGATATTGTTGCACATAGGAAAGAGAATATTCCAACCGTTAAACAGCTGTCAGTAAAAACAGGTTTACAAGATCGTGTCCAGGAATGAGACTGAGATAAACACTTGGCTCTTATGACGCTTAGCAACTAAGCGGTGTGTGATCTGGAGAGGTCTGGTTCACTGCACTGTAACCATAGATTTACCAAGCCCAAAGCAAAAACTCTGATTGAAATGATTTAAGAAAACAAGGAAAGACATTGTTGACTGATGTGCAAATTGGCTGATCTTCAAATATGCATTATAGGTGGATGAGAACCTAAGGCAAGGCAAGGCAAGGCAAGTTTATTTATATAGCACAATTCATACACAAGGCAATTCAAAGTGCTGAACAAAACAAGAAAGCATTAAAATCATAAATTATCACAGAACATTAAAAAGAAAGATAAAAATATAAAATCCCTCAGTTGTATGCACAGTTAAACAGAACTGTCTTTAACCTGGTTTTAAACATTGTCAGAGAGGAGGCCTGTCTCACATCTTCAGGAAGACTGTTCCAGATTTTAGCAGCAACCTACCCTTATGCACATCCAAAGAATTAAGTACACAAAGTCAGGAGCACACAAGTTTGAGTGCGAAGTGCATTAATAGTTTTTTGTTTGTGCCGCATGTGTCACTCAAATTCTTGGGAAGTGGTTTACGAGATAGTGAAACCGAGGCCACCCTGGCGGATGCTTACGTTTGTTGAACAAGTTCTTTATACGCTATACTATAAACAGCCATTGGAGCGGCTTTGTGTGATTCTGAGTTGCTGTATTCTCATTACTTTTGAGATTGTCACTGACCACAGCCACAGCCCAGCTTCAGACGGGCTGACAGATACACGCACAGCACTCCTTAGCACTTATCTGGACGGTCAGGGGAGACTTATAAGAGAAGAAAGGCCAAAAACCTATCACCCTGACACCTCATAAAGCACCCACAATGGATCAACCTTTCACTTGATGGACTACAGCCAACGGAATGAACGCTTTAGCTCAAGACATGTTGGGTGGTTTTCGACCGCTTGGGAGACACAAAGAATAGCCCGATTTGAAAAGAAGTCCTAAAAAGTATTAGGAAAACATTACTGAAGCAAAAAGATGTGTGTAATAACTGATATTTGATTTCCCTGGACAAAGTCTGTGCCAAAAAAGGGTGGTGATTTTGAGATAGGATTTAGAGACAAAGAAAACTGTTAGGATTTCCCATCTCAGTGATGGCAGTGATCAGGCCAACATGACTCACTTAAATCATCAAATAAATTATATTGTAGATTAATAACCCATATATAAAAAGAATAAAATGGTCTTACTTGGCGCATCAACAATATTTTTCATTGATTCAACATAAACCCAAGCTTCACATATATGTAGTAGTAGTAGTGTTTATTTCGAATTACATGCGCAATACAAAACAAAACAAAAGGAAGAAACATATATATGCACAATTCGAAAAGGAGTAGGTAGAAGTGAAACTTATGCTTCCTACCCCTTGTTACAAACTTTTCTCTTTACAGGAGTTCAAATGATATACAGGCATATTTCTCTCAGATATACAATTTACACTCGTCTCCATGAATAGTAATTTTAAATGCTGATTTCGCACCAATGATGTTCTTAGGTCTTGTTGTCACTTGTCACTTGTTGCCATTTTTACCCAAAGCTGTTTATTTAATGTTAACATGGTTATGTATGTAGACCCTACATAGTGCAGTGCATTAAAAACAGTGGGTAGAATGAGCCAGTCGAGAGAAGGTAATAGCCCCCACTCAACCCGCCCCACTCCCAACCTCCCTGACTAATGGAAATGTAGGAAAATTTGCGTTGTATATTCTTGCTGTGTGGTGCGTTAAAAACGAGGTGTTGAGGCCGCTTGGCAAAAGGGAGCCCGCCAATCCAACCATATCTCGTCTGCTCTGATTTACTTGCATCTGTTTAAGCAGTAATGGCAATCACAACATGACAACTTGTTTTCCTGCACTATAGATCTTGGTCATGTGCTATTCATGGTTAAGAGTTGTCCATTGCATCTAAAAGATTTAACTGCTCCAAATGATTTTCACACATCCCTTTTACAGTTTAAACAAATTACATTATTTACACATATGTTACATAATACATACCTTAATACTTTACCTTACACTTTATGTATCACACCTTACTTTCCATTTCTTCAAAAACAAACCATCAATTTAAATCCAGATTGTATTCTCATGTAACACTCTCATATGTCCTGAATATAGTAGTTTTGATTTGTTTCTTAAAAACTATTATGTTTTTTGACTCTTTAATGTCTTTGTTAAGTGCGTTCCACAAGTTGATTCCTTTCACTGAGACTGTTCTTTCCATGACTTTTGTTCTGAATCTAGGTTTTTTAAAGATATCAGTTCCTTTCAGATTGTACTGACTTTGTCTTTTTTCAAAGTTCTCTTGAATGTTTGCGGGTAATGATTTGCAATTTGCTTTATACAATATCTGAAAAATATTATAATCCACTATATCATAAAATTTTAACACCTTACACATATATACTGTTTTATAAGACTAAGACTAAGGAACACTCATTGGAAATGCTGATTACTTGATTTTTAAGTTTCTAAATGATAATAACAGTGTCTGTGTAAAATATCGCCTCTCAAGGAAAGTCATAAAGTTGCTCACCTCCATGGGTCTATGCTGTGCCGCGGACAAATCTACCTGAGGACACAAAAAGGCAAAAGGGAGCAGAAGATTAAAAGATAAGAAACACGTCTGTTGGAGCTCATGAGCTACATATTTTCAGTCGTTTCCTTTAAAATTGTGTGGGAGGAAAAGAACACTTCAAAATGCACAGGAAGACATAGTGAAGAAGGAGGGGGCTAAGTTATTTTACACATGCCACTCTGCATTCCACTGTCACTTTCACGTCATTACTCACTAAAAAGCAATATGTTACTTTGCACGAAATACTCTTTAGACAGAGAGCTGCTTTTCATTTTGCATCTTCAGGAAGTCTCACTACAGGTGCTGAAAAGAGGTGATGGTCCACTGCTATTCTCTGCACCAACTTCTACCGACTCATAGTGAAAGTGCTCCCATATGCAGCTGTCAGCAAAAGTGATATCTTTCATTGAAGTCACTTCTGTAACATCTATAACCACTCACTAAAGTTATAGTTGACCAGCCGATGTTCAACCTTTGCTTATGCCTGCAACATAAGGAAGGAGCCTATAACCTCAGATCGTATTTCTATCAGACATATTGTTCATACTTCTACATGGATACAATGGTTGCATAGTACCCGAGCTTTTAGTGTTTACTTTTTTCATCTTTTCCCCACTCATTTTTCATGTGCTTTTCCTATCTGGCCAAGGTCCAGTGAATAAAAAGCCACTACCGCACGACTGTGTTTATGCCAAGAACAAGCCAAAAGAAATTCAACACAACACAAGGCAGAAGGAAGGGATGGTTTCCAGGTAGACTTACTTCATGAGCACATGGTGTATACTGTTTCTGATAACTGACAGGATGTAAATTGATATGTCATCATCATTTGCAAATTAAAATATCAAGCTTCCACTGTCTGGAGCCAAGCTTCTGCCTGTGCACGCTTCTCCTCCATCATGAATCTAAATATGTTAAGTTTATAAATTATGGCGCGTATAAATTACAATATAACCTCCAGATGGCATGTAAACATAGAACTGGAACAGCTCTGCAGCCTCAAGTGAAAACATCTGTAAAGTGCAAAGCAAGACGCCTGATAATGCTGACATTACTGCATCTTATAAATCACAAAAGGCTTGCAGGACTGCTAGTAGTGAGACGGATTTCAGGAACTTCATGAAAGAGGTGAGACTTGGCAGCAAATAAAACACACGTAATCTTTTGTTACACTGTAATAATACCCCACACACTTCCATCTTGGTAACAAAATCAAGATGTGTGTAGACGCAACACAGACAGCACAATTACAAACACGTGAATTATTTGTTGGTAAACTCTGACTGTAAAAAGTGAAAGTTTCATGCTGGGCCGTACCTCTTGCAGATAACCTGTCAGGTGCAATAAGATAGCCACACTGGAAGCCACCTGAAGCAATCCCATAATAACAAGGGTCCCAATTAGGAAGGGACGACACGTGTTCTCAGAGCTCTGCGCCGGGTGGAAGCGGTCGTGTTGGGTCGCCTCCAGGTCCACGCTGTCCCGTAGATAGCCTCGATAATCGTGACTAGATGCCATCGTGTAGCCGTGTATGTGCGCGCTCTGCCCGGACCCAGAGGTGAGGAAGTCACGCTGAACTCGGCCACCGACGGAGCAGTAAAAGGACGGTGGGTGGGCCGGGACCGCGCGTCTTCTGCCCCTGCAGCCAATTGGAGCTCAGAGCCGGGGCAAAGGCGGATAGAGGCTGAGGACAGAGGAGCACAGGGTCTGGGAACTGATCGAGTGTGGAGGAACGCGAAGACTTGAGCCGCAGAGAGCAGAGCGCAGCGCTGTTTATCAAGGGGCCCTCCCCTTTGCGCGCCCACACCTCCGTGACACAGCGGCCTGGAGCTGGGACTGACTGGTTCATCTCTAGTTCACATTGTCTGTTCATCTCTAGTTTACTTTATCTGTTCATCTCTAGTTCACATTATTCTGTTCATCTCTAGTTCACATTATTCTGTTCATCTCTAGTTCACATTGTCAATCCTTATCCTAGAATGACTCGTGTCCAACATCAGTAACTCCAGATCTCAAGTAAGCTCAGTTAGTATCATAATCACCACAAATCAAACTGAATGTAATGTCAAATTAATTTAGCTATTTAACTTTCATGTATTTCTGTCCTATGTCACATCTTTGGAACAACTTTTCAGACAGAAAATCGATACAATCGATACAGGGCTCTTTCCTAAAAGTATGCAAAACATAGTAAGTAAGTAAAGTTTATTTTTATAGCACATTTTACAGACCATGGTCATCTGAGGCACTTTACATTGTTCAGAGTGCAGATATTGTTCCAATCACTCACACAAAGAGAACACACTGAGGCATCAAAGCCTCCAATCTACAGTATCAATTCAATCTCTCTTTATAAACATATCTATAGTGATTTTTTTTTGTGGCAGAGGAAACCTGTGTAGACACAGGGAGAACATGCAAACCCCACTAGGAAAAGCCCTGTTCCGACTGGGATTCGAACCCAGGACCTTCTTGCTCAGAAGCGATAGTGCTATTTACTCAGCCTCCGTGCCGCCAAATAACAAAAGATGAAGATCTTGTGTGATTTATTCTCAACATTTTACTTTGCTACATACAAAATGTTTTCTTTTTCAAAAGTTAGGTATCCCAGCTTTAATTGTCATAATTTAACTTAGTGACACTGACATTTCATGATGTAATGGTACTCATGGTGGCCGCACTAAAGGCCACATGAGTTTTAATAATTATGGAAAACAATACAGGTCTAAAATTTAACAGATTAATGAATTATTTTGAATTATGTTTTTTTATCATAAAAGAGAAAATGTGTGTATTTAACTCACTGGAAACAATAAATTAACACAAAACAAAACAAATATTAAATCAATTAAATCAATTGATGGAAAGAGAGAGTGAGGGATGGGCTGTCGTCCCATCCCTGTCGTTCAATAGAATCATGGTTTTTGCTCATGTTCTTGTGAAGTAGATCCATTATAGTAATAGACCTAGTACTGCAACTATGGCTGTGAGCCTATGTGTCACTTATTGCGTCCTTCCTCTTTATAGGCATATATTACACAACTCTCACTGCACATTTTTTTGCGTACCATTTCAGCATCTAATCAAAGCCAGGCTCCCTTACAACCCACTTCGCAAATGTGGGTGAAAAAAGCTACAAAAACAGTTCAAAAGCAGAAACAATGGAAAAAGAGGGGGCTGTTATAGGTTGAGCGGGTTTGCAAAATCTTGGTAACTTTTGAGGTGCCAGAGGAGTTCATGGGAGAAGTCTGGCTATTTATACGCTCCTCCCACCCCTTCCTTTCAGCCGTACGGCGATACAATCATTTAATACAGCATCATTATAGGTTTTCAAACTTCATTAAACCACACATGATTCTGGTTATGTTGTAGAATGACCGCAGCACTCTCTTCTTTACCATGCTTTTGTAGGAACAGGCCCGCTTGTTTTGCTTTCAGAATGGAGCAGAGGACCCATACAGTCAGATTCCTCCTGACAGGATTACCACAAAGTTTTTTATCTACCGAGGAAAACCACAAAAGTGATGTCTTGGCTACTTTAGACCTCTGAGCCTGTCTTTGCTGTATGCATCTGGCTGTGGATACATTTACAAAGCAACTAGTGGATAAAATAAATTATCAAATATTTTTTTCCTCCTAATCATATATGCTTCATGTATGGTTCAATATGTTCATATACTAGACGCTGGCTTTTATATTGGATCATTCTCATAGATGCATTGTATAGCTTGACATTATTTTCCTCTCCAACATACCTTTGGTTGGCCCATTAGATAGGTACTGTATACCCATGTATACCCCACCGGCTCAGCGTGGGGTCCCTTGCTTTTAGACTATCCAACTTAAAAGGTAATTTGACCACCTCTGGCTGTGAATTGTGGAGAGTAATTCCTTTGGTTAAATGTCCATGATATTTTTCCGTAATTTGAGTTGGTACCTCAGCAGGGAGGAGCAGTGGTTTCGGTTGGCATGCAGGTTAAACTTTTGGTTTTGGATACATTTGGCTATGGAAGCAGAACATTTTTTCTCCTTTCGGCATGCAGAGCTCTTATACATGTGTGGTTGTGTGTGTTTGGGTCTGCTCCATGCCCTTGTGTTTCCCAGTCTAACTTCAGCCAGACATTGCAACTTGAGGCTCAGTTTGAGAATGACATACGGCCAAAAGCCCTGCAGCTGAAGAGGAGGGAAACCCAAGAGAAAGCATGAATGAGAGAGCAAGGGTGATGGGAGGTAAAGAGGATAAAATATATGTTGAAAGTACATATGCACATGTCAATGCTGCATGCAAACAGTAAACTCAAAATGCGGTCTCCAGGGTTAAATAGACTTTAAGATTCTTTAACTAAATGAACGCCATTGACCGATTATTCAGTCAATAAGAAAAACATTGTTTTTTACTATCTTCCTTTCCGTCTGTGTATTATATACGTCTGGGGCAAGGCTTTAGAAAGTGTTTTATTGACCCAGCAGGTGGCAACTACGCTCTGTGGGTGACTGGTCAAAGGTCACTGTCTGGTCACCCTGGTGTGCAGGAGAGTGAGGCGAAGCAAGGCACAAGGAATACAGCCAGGGAAAGGCTTTATTTGGAGGCAGTTTGAGCAGTAAAGGTCTCTCTATAGAGCTGACCATGAAGGGTCAGAGCAGCAGACCAACGAAGCACCCCAAAAAATGCCTCAGAAAAGTGGACTAAGTGGACCACTACTAAGTGGGCTAATACTATCACTGAGCCTGCACCAGGGGCCATCAAATGAATTAATACTGGCCATTTTTTCTAGCACAGTTTGTCATGGGCTCTACTTTCAATATGTGAATGTTGACGTTTTTTGAATGAGAACATTTTGAAATATTCAAGCAACACTTTGCGAGTGTGTGTGCCATAAAACGTATCATTTTGCATAAAAACACTTTCTCATAAGTTGCTTTTGCTGTTTTCTAGCATGTAAGATACTGGGCATGTTTTAGGAGACGCTAAGGTTAAACTAAATAGTGTTAATATCCCTTTTCTGCATTGTAAGTAAGTAAGTAAGTAAGCTTTATTTATATACCGCCTTTCACAGACCAGAGTCACAAAGCGGTTTACAATTGTTATTTTTTGAGCACTTGTCCTCTCACTCCACACAGAGATGGGAGCGGGGTTGCCAAACAGGAGGTGCATGCCAGACCTATTGTACATATTTTTAGTGGTAGGGGAAACCGGAGTACCCGGAGGAAACTTACGCAGACACGGGGAGAACATGCAAACTCCACTCAGAAAGGCCCTGGTCCGGCCGGGATTCGAACCCAGGACCTTCTTGTTGAGAGGCGAGAGTGCTATCCACTCAGCCACCGTGCGTCTGTTTTCACAAATACCTAATTTTCTCAGCTTTTTTACCGTGACTGATGATTTATCCATAGTGGGATGAGCTCAAAGAATAAGTTGATCTATTCCAACAATTTTAGTGAACTGTATTTGCAGTTGTTTTAAGTCTCACGACAGCTTGCCAATTACATTTCACATAATTGGCAGTCGCACTGACCTCCCACCTGATGAAGACCATGGAGCGGCTCATCCTCACCCATCTCCGCTCCGTGGTCAGCCCCACCCTGGACCCGCTGCAGTTCGCCTACAGACCCAACATCGGAGTAGAGGACGGCGTCATCTACTTCCTGCAGCGGACGCTCTCCCACCTGGAGCCCGCCGGGAGCGCTGTGAGGGTCATGTTTTTCGACTTCTCCAGCGCTTTCAATACCATCAGACCGGCACTGCTGCAGGGGAAGATGGAGGACGCGGGAGTGGACAGTAGCCTCACTGCATGGACCATCAACTACCTCTCAGACCGACCACAGTACGTTCGGCTGCGCAGCTGTGAGTCTGAGGTGGTAGTCTGCAGCACTGGGGCCCCTCAGGGCACTGTCCTCTCACCGTTTCTCTTCACCATCTACACCTCAGACTTCACACACGACACACACAGCTGTCACCTGCAGAAGTTCTCCGACGACTCCGCCATCGTGGGCTGTGTGTCTGAGGGGAACGAACTGGAATATCGGTCGGTTATCAAGGACTTCAGTCAACTGGTGTGAGCGCAACCACTTGTGCTTGAACACCAGTAAGACCAAGGAGATGGTCATCGACTTCAGGAGAAAACCACTTTCCCACACGCTGCTGAACAGCCAGGGGGAGGACATTGAGCTGGTGGACAGCTTCAAGTACCTGGGTGTTCACATTAACAATAAACTGGACTGGTCCCATAATACAAACGCCCTGCACAAGAATGGCCAAAATCGCCTCTTCCTTCTGAGGAGGCTGAGGTCCTTCGGAGTGAGCAGGCCTCTGCTCAGGACTTTTTATGACTCTGTGGTAGCTTCTGCCATTTACTACACTGCCATGTGCTGGGCCCCGGGCAGCACAGAGCGGGACAGAAACAGACTGAACAAGCTGGTCAGGAGGGCCAGCTCCACTCTGGGCTGCTCCCTGGACTCTGTGGAGGAGGTGAGGGACAGGAGGTGCTAGCCAAAGCCACCTCCATCATGAACAATACCTCCCACCCACTGCACAGGACTGTAGAGGAGCTGAGGAGCTCCTTCAGTGGAAGACTGAGACACCCTCAGTGTAGGAAGGAGCGCTACCGCAGGGCCTTTATCCCCACCGCTGTCAGACTGTACAATAAGTCACTTTAAATGATCACTGTGTGAAAACCTGCACTACTATTGACACTGTTTCCAATTGACACTTCTCATTTTTCTTGTACATAATTATTGTCACTGAGTGTCCTATCCATGCCAAATGGGACATATAAATTTCTCCTATGTGAGATAAATAAAGCACATCTTATCTTATCTTAAAAGCATCATATATATGGCTTTTGTTGG